ATTATAGCATGAATAAAATACAATTATCATGAACAAGGAAATATAATAATAATGCTTTTATTATTGCCTCTATGGCATATTTCCAACAGTTCCATAGCCCTTTGTTGTTCAGTAGCAATTTTAGCAAGTGTTTTATAGCTAGGTTTGGATTCACAATCTGAGTCATCTTCACTTGATGTTTGAAAGTAAGCATCACATGATTTTACCTTGGCACCACGTGCCATGAAGCAATAGGTGGGAGCAGGATCGTCCATGTCATCAGCTTCAGCGTTGGTGTGGAAGTCATTGTCTTCAGTGTTGAAGATGGACTTGGCAACATAGGTTGTGGCTAGAGCCAGACTTGCAGCGCCAGGGTCGGACTCTTCTTCAGACTCCACCTCCACCTCCTCAGAAGCAGACTCCTCCTCTGAATCCATTTCCTTGCCAACAAAAGCATGAGCCTTGCCAGATGAGCTCTTCTTATGTGATGAAGACCTTGATGAGGACTTAGAAGAAGACTTTGAAGATTTCTTCTTCTTCTTGTCATCAGAATCATATTCCTTGCTCTTTTTCTTCTTCTTGTCATTGTCCCACTGAGGACACTCAGAGATATAGTGTCCAGGTTTCTTGCACTTGTGACATGTTCTCTTCTTGTTGTCATGAGTGGAAGCTTCATCATTTCTTGAGCTAGATCGTGAAGACTTTCTGAAGCCCTTCTTCTTGGTGAACTTCTGGAACTTCTTCACAAGCATGGCAAGTTCCTTTCCAATGTCTTCAGGATCATCAGAACCGCAGTCAGATTCTTCTTCAGATGAGGAAACCACTTTTGCCTTCAAAGCACGAGTTCGGCCATAATTGGGACCATAGATATCTCTTTTCTCAGAAAGCTGGAACTCATGTGTGTTAAGCCTCTCAAGTATATCAGACGGATCGAGTGTCTTGAAGTCAGGGAGTTCTTGTATCATGAGGGCAAGGGTGTCAAAGGAGCTGTCGAGTGATCTCAGTAGTGTCTTGACGATTTCATGCTTGGTAATCTTAGTGGCGCCAAGAGCCTGAAGCTCATTTGTGATGTCGGTGAGGCGATCAAACGTGAGCTGGACATTTTCATTGTCGTTTCTCTTGAAGCGGTTGAAGAGATTGCGAAGAACACTGATCCTCTAGTCTCTCTGTGTAGAGACGCCTTCGTTGACCTTGGATAGCCAGTCCCAGACTAGCTTTGACGTTTCCAGGGCACTCACACGGCCATACTGTCCTTTGGTCAGATGACCACAGATGATGTTCTTTGCAGTGGAGTCTAGTTGAATGAACTTCTTGACATCAGTAGGGGTGACACCTTCACCAGTTTTGGGAACGTCGTTCTTGACGACATACCAGAGGTCGACATCAATGGCTTCAAGATGCATGCGCATCTTATTCTTTCACTAGGGATATTCAGTTCCATCGAACACGGGACAAGCAGCGGAGACTTTGATTATCCCTGCAGTCGACATAGCTAAACTCCAGGTGGTTAAACCGAATCACACAGAACAAGGGAGTACCTCGCTCTGATACCAATTGAAAGTGCTAGTTATCGACTAGAGGGGGGGTGAATAGGCGATTTTTATCAAAGTCTTCAAAACATGGAAGTTTCGAAGACAAACAATAGAAATGACTTAATTGATATGCAGCGGAAGATAAACTACAACAAGCAAGCCATAGTCAAGTATGCAATAATGTGAATGTACAAAGACTAATAGCAGCTAGGTAGTAAGGATCAGGATGGAAGATAGTATGAAGCCAATCAACGATAGTAGTCAAGCAATGAAGTCAAACAGATAGGACAAATAGGCAATGACTTCACGAAGATAAACTCAAAGTAAAGGGAGGGAAGGGATAGAACCAGTCACTTGTTGAAGACACATGATTTGTTGGACCAGTTCCAGTTGCTGTGACAACTGTACGTCTGGTTAGGGAGGCTGAGATTCAACTCAGAAGACCGCGTCTTCACCTTATTCCCCTTGAGCTAAGGACACACAGTCCTCGCCCAATCACTCTGGTAAGTCTTCAAGGTAGACTTCCGAACCTTCACAAACTTTGTTCACCGGCGATCCACAATGACTCTTGGATGCTCAGAACGCGACGCCTAACCGGCTGGAGGATACACAGTCCTCAAGTGTAATAAGTCTTCAGGTCACACAGACAGAAAGACTTCAGTGATGCCTAACACTCTTTGGCTCTGGGTGTTTGGGCTTTGTCCTCGCAAGGATTTCTCTCTCAAAGGCTTCAAGGTGGGTTGCTCTCAAAACGACAAAAGCCGTAAACTAACTCTAAGCAGCCACCAATTTATGGTGTAGGGGGTGGGCTATTTATAGCCACAAGGCAACCCGACCTGATATGTCCGAAATGACCCTGGGTCACTAAGGAACTGGTACGTGTTCCAACGGTCAGATTTCAAACACACACGACAACTTTACTTGGGCTACAAGCAAAGCTGACTCATCCAGCTCTGGATAAGATTTGCTCACATTGTCTTCGCTCGAAGACATAGGATTTGGGTTGAGCATCACTTCAGTCACTCTGACTTTGTTCACTTGGACCCCACTTAACAGTACGGTGGTTCCTATGACTCAACAAAGAAGAAAAGAAAATAATGAAACAACACAGTCTTCGCGCTCCATAGTCTTTGCTCAATGTCTTCTCATGTCATAGTCTTCAATGTGAATATCTTCACATACCACCATTGTCTTCATTGTCTTCATACATTTTTAGGGGTCATCTCCGGTAGGTAAACCAAATCAATGAGGGACACTACCTGCGTTATCCTGCAATTCTCACAAACGCATTAGTCCCTCAACCAACTTTGTCGTCAATACTCCAAAACCAACTAGGGGTGGCACTAGATGCACTTACACCCGCTTCATTTTTATACATGCAAACGTGTGCGCATGCAGTTTCCACTGGATCTTGTTAATCATTCGAGTTTAAGATGCTGAAGTTGAAGGTCTGGAGTCGCTACTTGAACCACCCGAGCAGTACGAAATAGTAAAGGGGATAATCATTATCGAACTATATGTCGGCATCTTTAGCTCGTCATTTCCTGATATCAACTAATTAATAACTCATTTATTCATTTTCTTTGCCGGTGGGCAGAGCTTGAAAAAAGTTCAGGAAAGAGGTTCCAAGCGGATGGAAAGAAAAGCTGTATTGGTATCGACCCAAGGTATAATTAACTAAGTAGTACTAGCTAGCTACCATCTCTTTAATTCTAGTTTCAATACCATTAGTTATCATGCTTGATTAATTATTATCTGATTGAATTCTATTCTCGTAAAGTGCATGAAGCAGTTGCCGGGGAATGATTTATGTGCATACTACGTTTGCGAGAACATTCGCATAATGGCGTCCGAAAGGAGCAGAGATGATAGACAGCAATGGGTACGTTTACCAGAGCACTATTCATAATTTTTACATCATTATCGATATCTAATATATATACACACAACTAATACATGCATATTTAATCTTCTCCTTTAAAGTTCAAGGACGTGCGGGAGAAGCTCTTACCAGCGGATCGCGTACGAGCAACTCAAGAAGAAATAACGGGATTTTTGCTTGATCAGGTCATAGATCCCAAAGGAGAATACCATTACCCGCTACCACCACAGTAATGCCTCCCGGCGCGGGCTAATGCCACGTGGTGACCCTTTAGTGGCGGCTCGTGCTGAACCGGTACTAAAGGGGGGGGCTTTAGTCCCCACCCTTTAGTACCGGTTGCAGAACCGACACTAAAGGTCCTTACGAACCGGTGCTATAGCCCAGTTCTGCGCTAGTGAAATCGAATCGGCCAGGTCGATGGTGGATTTGGTGCATTTTATGGTTTGAAGGGGGGGGGGCTCGGGCTGTCTGGGCTGACGTGGCGGACACGTCCGGGCCTCCCATACCCGCCCTAGATTTGGGCTCGATACAAGGGGTGTCGGTCAGCCCGGACGTTTGAGGCCGGTTGGAGGCGCCCGATTAGGTCACTTTTTTTATCGGTCAGTGACCGGGCCATCCGCTTGGGCGTTTAAGGCGGGTATGAGGTGCCCTGTAGATGCTCTTTTGCATTGACTAAATTATTGACTCTGGTGCAAACGAGAGTTTGCTACAAAAATGTCATAGAGGTAATAATAAAGTTGTTATTATTCTATTTCCATGTTCATAATTAAGTTTGTTTTTCAATATAATGCTATAATTGCAATGGTTCTTGAATGCGAGATTCAGAGACTTGTTGTATGTGTGGAAAGATAAACACCAATCAGATCTCTAGTCATGCCTCTAGACTAGCTCATGTAGCATTTTATGATTTTGCTTTTCTAACCATGGACATTGTTATTGTTAAGGAGGATGCCAAAAATACAAAAAAATATTGTTAGGATAACAATAGTATTGGATAGACCCAACACATGAAACACTATGTGATCACGTCATTAGTATATGTTATTGGTATACTTATCTTCTCATGGACAACCTCCATTGATGCAAAAGATTGCATCCTTCTCTTCATCTCTTGAATAATGACTGTTGAAGTTCCAAATATTCTCCCTTGAGTGAACTGAGTGCTCGGATGGTTAGCTATCTTACGGTGAAACTGGTCCACCAGGGTTCAAGTGGGCAGGGGTCATGCGGTCCTAGTTTTTTTAGGTGTACGCGGTCCTAGTTTTTTTTTTTAGAATCTTATGCTAGTTTTTTTTTTTGAGTTGAAGAGAATCGTATGCTAGCTCTTTTTGGAGAAAATCCTATGCTAGATTTTTTTTGAGAAGAAATCTCAAGCTAGCTTTGTTTTAGAAGACAAATCTTATGCTAGCTATTTTTTTAGACGATTGTTGAGTACAGTGGGCTTTCGTCTTAGCTATCGTGGGCTTCCCTCGTCTCTACAGAACTAGTATTGGGCTTCAAATCTCACTCGCAGCCTCAGTTTTCTCTTCTCCAGTGTACGGCCAACCTTGCCCTTCGAGTCCACCCCACCCACCCCATCCGCCGCACGAGCAACTGAGGAGGGCGAGATGACGGCCAGCTTCGGCCGCCGCCTCCGCCCGACGTCGGCGCCGCCGCTCGACGACGACGACCTGCTCGACGAGATCCTCCTCCGCCTCCCACCGGATCCGTCCTCCCTCCCGCGCGCCTCCGCCGTCTGCACCCGCTGGCGCCGCCTCGTCTCCGACCCCGGCTTCGTCAGCCGCTTCCTCCTCCGCCACCGCCTCCGCCCTCCCATCCTCGGCTGCTTCATCACGGACCAGCGAAGGGCGACCGTCTCCTTCGTACCTACCATGGAGGCCCCCAATCGTCTCCCCGCCGAGCGCTTCTCCTTGCAGCTCGGCGACCGCGACCGCTTCAGTCTCCTCAGCTGCCGCCACGGCCTCCTGCTCATGTTCCTCCCGCTGTGGAGCAAGGTCCTGGTGTGGGACCCCGTCGCCGGAGACCAGCACCGCCTGGACATTCCCCCAGGGTTCGACACGAAGAAGGAGATTGGCGGGGCGGTGCTTCGCGCCGCCGGGGCCGTCCGCCACTTCCAGGTGGTCTTAGTGGGCAGAGACAAACAGAACATACTCGCCTGCGTTTACTCATCCGAGGCTGGCGTATGGAGCAAACTGATCTCAACTCCGCTTCCAAATCCGTTTTGCTACGAGTTTATGGGCGTGCATCCTGTGCTGGTTGGGGATTCCCTTCACTGGTTTATTAACTGTGGTTTTCATAAAATCCTTGAGTTTGATTTGCATAGGCAGATCCTAACTGTGATACCAGGGCCCTTGGATGAGTTTCCTGTGGGCATTTCCCAAATCCTGGTTATGCGGGCAGAGGATGGTGGGCTTGGTGTTCTATTCAAGTCAGGCTGCAATGTCCAATTATGGAAGAGGAAGATTGATTGTGATGGCGAGGCCTCATGGGTGCTGGGAAGAACTTTTGATCTAGACACACTATTTTCCCTGAATTCAGAGGAGATAAAGTACATGGTGATCCTAGGCTTGGCTGAGTACAATAGTACGGTGTTCGTGCGGACAGTTGTCGGCCACTTCATGGTGCAGCTTGAGTCATTGAAGTTCAACAAGACGTTCGAAACCAACATTTGGAATTTCCATCAACCATTTGAAAGTGTCTATACTGGAGGTAACAGAATGCTTTGACACCGTGGGTATAACAAAATCAGCTTGTTTTTTATAATAGTTGATGAAATGTTGTTCACATCCGTTAGGTTTAAGCTAACAATTTTTAATTTGTGCCATATCACTAATTTGTTTTGCTGCTTGATGATTTCTGCTATATATTGCACTTTTGCAGTGTGGCGCCCTGTCCCAATGCTTGTATAGTGATGTTTATGTAGTTGTTATGATCTGGAAAATATTTGCTTGCCGTATCTAGTTTAGTTTATGCCACTAGTTCTGCTTGTGTAGCCAAGTTTGCCGAATGCTTTGCATAATAATTGCACTGAATTTCAATGCTACATGCCTGTTAACATATGTAAGAAGTGTATGGTGGCAGAACTAGTTCATATCTCCAGTACACTTTTTTTTCCTCATAATAAGAACTTAACAGTTGGAAGTTGAAGACGACTGCCTGAAAAACTAGCTTGAACCAACTAGAATGTCAACTAGATAGCTTAATGTGTACATTTGGAAGCTTAAAGCAACTTATGCTTCTACCATTCAATATTTGTGCTAATCTTGCTAAAAACCTGTAAATCTGTAACAATGACTTAGTTAAAATTTATAATCAATTGCTTATTGTATCAGTCCTAGGAGAGTCCTGCTCTAACAATGACTAGGTTTAAATTTGATAGAACAATTGCTTGTTTATCACTTATAGGTGGGGCCAACTCCGAGTGGCCAATCAAATCGTTCCCTTTTAAATAATTAAACTGAGCTTATTTCATCTTTTCAGGCTAAATTTATTTGAAAACAGACTAAATCCGAATAGGCATAATTACTTATGTTGCTAGGATTTGTTAATGCTGTATCAAAGCTCACTTGTTTTTTTTCTTCTAAAATTCCACCTACGAGTTTCTTGATGCCTTCCCGTATTTAGTTAGTTTTCCATTGGAATTTCATTGGTTGTTTGACTTCTAATGCTTGTAGAAACAAGCATTGGTGGTGGACACAATGGAGCTGAACTTTTGCACAACACATAAGATGATTGTCTGGTTCAGTATGTTATTATGGTGTATTGGTTGAGCAGGTAAGCTTGTCTTCTGTACGTACGTTGAGGTATCTGAAATGTTCGTTTTAAATAAATACTCCCTCCAGTCACAAATATAAGATGTTTGTGAATCGGATGTATATAGACACGTTTAGTGTGTTTGTTCACTCAATTCAATCTGTATGTAGTCAATCGGATGTAATAAATACTCCCTCCAGTCACAAATATCTACTCTCAGGTCTTCCTGTCGATGAGTGCTGCTTGTGAGGCTATTTTGTTTTGAAGCTGAGGATGTGTTGAGGCCTGGTAGTTCTAGTTTCTGTTATGTTTGTTGCTGGTCTGGCTCATGTGCCTTCTTCCGTGTGCTGTTTAAAGTATACCCTGTTACCTGGTTTCGTTTTCAGCAGCGGAAATGGAGCCTTTGCATTCTCTGTTTTTATTACTCTAGAAGCTGAAAGTCCGCACTGCATATTACATACTCCCTCTGTTCACAAATGCAAGACGTTTTGGATATTTCAATGTCGACCACATACAGACTGAAATGAGTGAACAAACACACTAAAACGCATCTATATACATCTGATTCAGAAAAAAGTTAAAACATCTTACATTTGTGAACAGAGGGAGTATTTGTGTTCTCTGTTTCTGTTACTGTTTTGTCCCCAATATCACTACTTTGGAGTTTCTTTGTACAATTTCCACAATGGTGAATTTAGTGTTTACCCCTTTGAATCATACACAAATTATGAGACTGTATAACTTTAACGGTTTTCCCATGACTGCTCCACAGGTATCTAGAGGTGTACTGTGGTTGATGAGATGCAGGAATGGGCTTGTATGCTGCAGGTTCTTCCATTTTGTGTGCTTCACATGTCGATCGACTCTCTGTAGCACGCGCCGGTCAAGTGGGGAGTGGAACTGTAGGAGTTGATCGTTTAATTTGACAACTACCCGCTGTTATTGTCTAATTTGTGGACACAAATAGCCATTCAACTTTCATGATGAATACACACTGACAAAAATAGCAAGCATGCTGAAACATAAACAAAAAGCTTACCTGCCTGATGGCCTTCGCTTACATTTGGTGCGTGTATGTCTGTGTTCTTTGCCTATGTTCCATGATTTATCAAGTGCTGCTTATGTGAGAGAGTGCGCGTGTGTTGGTTTTTCATTACTCCCTCCGTTCCAAAATAGATGACTCAACTTTGTACTAACCAATTAATTTGGATCGTAGGGAGTATTTGATTCTGACAGTCTGGCTAGTTGATTTTGTATTGCACCTGCTGGCCCTGCTAGTACTCCCTGCGTATTATGGGACGGAGGGAGTATAACTTAACTCTGTCGTCTTTCTTTCTCGTCTCCCCAAAGATCAACCACCTAGCATTCCAATCTCCCCGAGTCAATGGTTCTGTTTTGTTTTCTGAATGACTGTGCTCAAGCTTTAAATCTTTGTCCTAGTTCTGTTATTGATTTTTGGCAGAGAGGAGGTGGGACAGAGAAAATAGTAGATTACAAAAAAGAAAAAAAATCATCATATTTGGTGCTAGGATATCATGGAACCACCATCATTGATGAAAATCAATAATCGTGCGCAATGTCCAGGGTTCCAGGGTAACGACAGGAGCGACCTCATCTTCCTGCTCCTACCTTGGACGACGGAGGCGCCACTTGATTGCTAGACTTGCCCATGCTCGCCGCGGCCTTCATCAAAATGCACCACCAAAAATTACACCTTACGGCCGACCCACCCGCCCTTCCCAGTGATTGTGATTCGAATCAGAGCTTCCAATCAAGCTAACTCAAAATTAAACCCAATAGATATGAAAAGATAAGGTGAAGGAGAGTCCCCATCTCTGGCGCAGGTGATTCTGGAGGAGGACGTCGGGGATGTCACGCGTGATTCAATAAGAGGGCGGGTAACGGCAAGGCGGATGGATCGGGGTAGCATAGTTCGCACCGGTGGCCACTACAGGACTCTAGGTCGGCAAGAACACAATATGAAATGTGGAGAGATGCATAAATAGAGGGACGAAGAGAAGCACCGGGAGGACCGTGATGAAGATCTATTGATTGGGGGAGATAAAGGGAACCATGGGTGGAAGGTGGAGGAAGGGATGAAAGACCAACATGCCAAATAGATGAGGAGCCGATTCGTTGTTGTTTCGTGAGGTAGGGGGAAATTGACTGGATTTCCACCGCAGCTATAGGCAAGGGGAATTTTAGTGCCGGTTGAGAGAGCGAGAGGGGCTGGTTAGACAGAGGGGGGCCGATTGGTTGTTGCTTGGAAACTGACGCTGACGTTGTGTCATACTGGCATGAACAACGTGCATGTGTAAAGAGAATTGCTAGTAACGGGGATCAACTTGTTTTTATCAACTTCTTAAGAATATATAGGATTTTTCTTTCGAGAGTACGCCTAGGCGTATCATATTTTCATAGAAGGCAGAGTTGAAATTACAAGAAACTACCATTCGCTGCGAACGACAAGCGTAGCACACACCACACCACTCTCGAACAAGTCCACAAACGGACAACACCGCAAAGCAATCTACAACACAAAAGAGCCTATCCTCAGCTGCCACACACACCGCGTCACGACCGACGTCGGTCGCCTCTGAAGACCATCATCTTCCGTAGAACATCGATTGTCGACGCACCATCCACTCTGAGCGCCTAAGAGGAAGTGGCAAGTGGAAGGCAGGACTCGCTCTGCTTTGAGAGAGACACCATCTTGAAGACACCAACGACGAGCATACATAGCACCGTAGAGGACCAGAAGAGGACAGCAGCAAGCACCGGAGGAGAGCAATAAGGACCCAGCCATGTATCCACACACAAAGCTCCCAACAGAGATACGACGTCGAGGACGCCGCCAATGTGCCGATCCAACACCGAATCAAGGCTTTCGCCCGGAGACAGCCACCAACTCCAAGTGAGTGAAGGTCATGGCGCACACGCCTCGGCGGCGCCTCCAAGAAGGGGATGACACCCACGGGCGCCATCACCGCCAGCCTGACAAAAGCCAAGCAAGATTTTCATCCGCGCATTGCACATCACCACACCTCCAGGAATTCGGCAACACCGTCCAATTAGCCTCGCACCGCCGCCACTGCAACTCTATGCAGAAGTAGTCGCCAAGCCGAGGACCGACGACCGGCTGCACGACAAGAGGAACCCAACCACCGCAGCAAACTCCCAGCATGGACAAGAAACCGCAGCCACCCACACCTCCGGCAAGGTCCAGGACCGGTCACAACAGCCGTCACCAACCAAAGGACGACCTTGCGACGGTCGGAACCACACCTCCACGAAGCACCAAGCTGCGCCACCGGGAGAGCATCGCTGCTCACCACATTGCACGGAGGTAACCGGGCACTCGTTGCTCGCCAAGACTCCATCTTGGCCAAGCGCTCTCAGCGCCGCCACCACCAACTATATGTGGGTTCGCATCTCCGCCTCCAGACGGCGCCGCCGCCACCATAGCTCGCCATCGCACCGCTGCCAGCTCCATCTAGGCCTGCCGCCCTCCTGCCGCGCATCGGCAGCCAGCCCCCACTCCCTGTCGGCGTGGATCTGACCAGATCGAGCCCCACTGCGAAGAATGCCATGCCGCCACCGGCCCGCGCGCTCCACCGCGACGTGCCGCCATCGTCCAACATGTTGTGCCGCCCCGCACCGACACCACCTGCGCGCGCCACCCGTCGCGTGATGTCTACTACACAACCTTCTTATTGTAGACGTTGTTGGGCCTCCAAGTGCAGAGGTTTGTAGGACAATAGTAAATTTCCCTCAAGTGGATGACCTAAGGTTTATCAATCCGTGGGAGGTGTAGGATGAAGATGGTCTCTCTCAAGCAACCCTGCAACCAAATAACAAAAAGTCTCTTGTGTCCCCAACACACCCAATACAATGGTAAATTGTATAGGTGCACCAGTTCGGCGAAGAGATGGTGATACAAGTGCAATATGGATGGTAGATAAAAGTACTTGTAATCTGAAATTATAAAAACAGCAAGGTAACAAGTGGTAAAAGTGAGCGGAAACGATATTGCAATGCTAGGAAACAAGGCCTAAGGTTCATACTTTCACTAGTGCAAGTTCTCTCAACAATAATAACATAATTAGATCATATAACAATCCCTCAATATGCAACAAAGAGTCACTCCAAAGTCAGTAATAGCGGAGAACAAACGAAGAGATTATGGTAGGGTAGGAAACCACCTCAAATTTATCCTTTCTGATCTATCTATTCAAAAGTCCATAGTAAAATAACATAAAGATATTCTTTCCGTTCAATCTATCATAGAGTTCGTACTAGAATAACACATTAAGACACAAATCAACCAAAACCATAATGTCACCTAAATACTCCATTGTCACCTCAAGTATCTGTGGGCATGATTATACGATATGCATCACACAATCTCAGATTCATCTATTCAACCAACACAAAGTACTTCAAAGAGTGCCCCAAAGTTTCTACCGGAGAGTCAAGACGAAAACATGTGCCAACCCCTATGCGTAAGTTCACAAGGTCACTGAACCAGCAAGTTGATCACCAAAACATACATCAAGTGGATCACGTGAATATCTCATTGTCACCACAGATAAGCACGGCAAGACATACATCAAGTGTTCTCAAATCCTTAAAGACTCAATCCGATAAGATAACTTCAAAGGGAAAACTCAATCCATTACAAGAGAGTAGAGGGGGAGAAACATCATAAGATCCAACTATAGTAGCAAAGCTCGCGATACATCAAGATCGTGCCAAATCAAGAATACGAGAGAGAGAAAGAGAGATCAAACACATAGCTACTGGTACATACCCTCAGCCCCAAGGGTGAACTACTCCCTCCTCGTCATGGAGAGCGCCGGGATGATGAAGATGGCCACCGGTGATGGATCCCCCCTTCGGCAGGGTGCCGGAACAGGGTCCCGATTGGTTTTTGGTGGCTACAGAGGCTTGCGGCGGCGGAACTCCCGATCTAGG